TATGGTGGGGGGAATTCTGAGCAATGTTCTCATGGAACCATGGAATGGTTTGGGTTTAAAACTCCTCCAGTGCCATGGCAGGGACCCCTCCCAGCATCCCAGGGTGCTCCCAAGTGTCCAACCTGGGCCTGGGCACTGCCAGGGGCAGCCACAGCCACAGATCAAACACAATAAATCTGTTTAATGTGTTTAATCCAATCCCTGATTGGGGAGCTCAGGAGTTTCAGCTCCTCATCCCCACCCAGTTTAGTGCAAGGGGATTTTTGGGCAATGTTCTCATGGAACCATGGAATGGTTTGGGTTGAAATGGACCCAAAAACTCCTCCAGTGCCATGGCAGGGACCCTTTCCACCATCCCAGGGTGCTCCAAAGTGTCCAACCTGGCCCTGGGCACTGCCAGGGCAGCCACAGCCACAGATCAAACACAATAAATCTTATTAAATACAATAAATAAACAATAAATTTTCATGTGTTTAATCCAAGCATCCAAAGATTGGGGAGATCAGGAGTTTCAGCTCCTCACCCCCCCCAGTTCAGGTGCAAGGGGATTTTTGGGCAATGTTCTCATAGAACCATGGAATGGTTTGGGTTGGAATAGACCCAAAATCTCCTCCAGTGCCATGGGCAGGGACCCTTTCCACCATCCCAGCCCTGTCCAACCTGGCCCTGGGCACTGCCAGGGGCAGCCCCAGCTGCTCTGGGCAATCTCTTTTCATGTGTTTAATCCCAAATGTTCAAAGATTGGGGAGCTCAGGAGTTTCAGCTCCTCACCCCCAGTTTAGTGCAAGGGGATTTTTGGTGGGGGGAATTCTGACCAATGAATGAACCATGGAATGGTTTGGGTTAAAACAGACCCAAAACCTCCTCCAATCCCACGAGCAAGGACATTTTCCACCATCCCAGGGTGCTCCAAGCCCTGTCCAGCCTGGCCTTGGGCACTGCCAGGGATCAGGGGCAGCCCCAGCTGCTCTGGGAAATCTTTTCATGCATTTAATCCCAGTGTCAGCTCATCCACAGTGAGCTCAGGAGTTTCAGCTCCATTTGCAGCTCCTCACCCCCAGTTCAGGTGCAAGGGGATTTTTGGGCAATGTTCTCATGGAACCATGGAATGGTTTGGGTTAAAATAGACCCAAAAACTCCTCCAGTGCCATGGCAGGGACCCTTCCACCATCCCAGGGGGCTCCAAGCCTGGCCTTGGGCATTTCCAGGGATCCTGGGCACCTGTGCCAGGGCATCCCCACCCTCCAGGCGGGAATTCCTGCCCAAAATCCAACCCTGCCCTCCCCTCTGTCACTTTGAAGCTGTTCCCCCTTTGTCCTGCCTCTCCATAATAAATAAATAAATTTTAAAAATGATTTCTTTTTATAAATAATCTCTGTCCATCCTCCTGGTTGGCTCCTTCAGGTGCTGATGGCCACAGTGAGCTCACCCTGAACCCTTTCTCTTCCAGACCTGCTTTAGTTCAATATTTAATTAAATAGGAACTTCTTTATTCCACTGAGGTTTATTTTGTGTGTGCTTTTCCTGTGAATTAAATGCACTTTTCCAGCAGAAATGCATATTTATAGAAGCAACCCCTGGGAGTGTTCAGTGTTGGTCGTTGCCCATGGTCACACAAGGCAAAGGCAGCAGAATTAAAGTGATTTAATTTTTATTTGCACGCTCAATGTGCCTTAACAAATTCAACATACAAGGTAGCATTACAGAATGTAGGTTAGCTTATAGCATTATGCAGTTTCACACAGGTTGAGTTAGGTTTTTTGCCTTTTATTCTTTTTTTTTTATTTTATTTTATTTTTTTTTTTTCCACACAAAGTTGTAACTGTCCAAGTTCATTTTACAATAGAAGACACAAGGTAAAGAATAACCACACCTGGGAGATTTTACAGTGAGTCTGCTGTCACTTACTGTCTATTTTATGTTTTAAAAAATATATATCTGCACATTTTCAGTTTCCTATTATTCCAGAAGAGTGTTGGAGCTACTCCTACCTGCCCGACAGCCTAAGTCTATTTACCCTGAGCATGTTTCCTTGACAAGAAATTCATTTTTCCTTTCAACTAAAGGAATCTTAAGATCATCTAGGCTTAGTCATGCTTTTCACACCAAAGGGAGAAGGGAATTTTGTTGCTGCTTTTAGTCCTGGTCAGATCTTTGGAGTGGTGTTGGAAAGCATGAGGAGAAGTGGTGAAAAGTTGCTTGAATTGCAGCAACACAATTGCTTAGTGCAAAAAAATCAGCATGGAAAGAGATTTACAGCAATTTCCAAAGGGGGGAACTCGTTCTCTGAGCCACAGAGCTCGAGCCAGAGAAGATTTGAAGACCCTGATAAAATCCACTACAACCTCAGGCAGAAATCCTGGCCTTGGGGATGGTGAAGGGGGAAAATCCACGCTTGTGGCTGCTGGGAAATGGAGCCACAGCCTGGGAGAGGGGCTCACAAAATGAGGAAAATCAGCTTTCCAAAAAGAATCCTGAGGGAGGGATGCCCCAGTGGTGGCACTGCCACAGGAGAGCCTGGCTCACCTATTCCCATTTCAGGGCACAGAAGGTGAAAAAGATCCTTTCCCAACAGGGATCTCAAATTCAGCAGCTGAGTCCTGTAAGTAAATTATCTTAATTTTAAAACAATTAATCTGTTCTTTGCAATTCTATTTGCATCCCAGAGGGCTCAGAGCAGTCTGGCTGCCCGGGAGCAACCAAAGATTTGAAAAATTTTGAATTTCCTTTTCCTGAAAACCTGGGGCTGTCAAGAGCCTCTCTGTAAACCCAATTCTGCTTCTCCAGAGCCCAGGAAGAATTTCAATGCTAATTATTAGTATAATTTGAATGCTAATTATTTCTAATTCACCAACACTGCTTACCATGAGTGATTTGCTGCCAGGTATCACCTTGATGTGTGCCCTGGCTGGGCTGGGAGCAGAATTCCCAAATCCAGGGCTGTGGGAGCACAGCCAAACTTTGTAAACTCCTGCTCCAAATTCCTGCAGGGTCCAAACAGCCTCAGGTGCCTCTGGGCAGGGCCATTTTCCCTTGCAGGTGGTTCCCATTCCCTGAAATCAGGATTTGAGGATTCTCCCAAGCTGCCTTGGAGCTCCAGCTCTGGCACATTTTTAGTGCCAGGCTTTGCTCTGCTTTGGGAGCTGCAGGATCATTCCTGATCCAAACTGACCCCAGCATGGATGAAAGGAAGATTTGTCCCTTGTCATGGACCAGCTCTGCCCCCAGGGCCTTTGCCATGACACAGAAATGATCAGAATTTGCTGGGCAATGTTCAAAAGTTTCCTTACCAATCAATGACACATCAGTGTTTGGCTTTTCCTGGAGAAAAGAGAGGAGGAAATGAAATGCAACTGGGCAGGATGGAATGCACAGAGAGGAGGGAGTAAAATAAAATGCAACTGAGCAGGATGGAATAAAATTAAACTGAGCAGGATGGAATGCACAGAGAGGAGTGAAATAAAATAAAATGCAACTGAGCAGGATGGAATGCACAGAGAGGATGGAATAAAATAAAATAAAATGCAACTGAGCAGGATGGAATGCACAGAGAGGATGGAATAAAATAAAATGAAATGCAACTGAGCAGGATGGAATGCACAGAGAGGATGGAATAAAATAAAATAAAATGCAACTGAGCAGGATGGAATGCACAGAGAGGATGGAATAAAATAAAATAAAATGCAACTGAGCAGGATGGAATGCACAGAGAGGATGGAATGAAACTGAGCAGGATGGAATAAAATAAAATGCAACTGAGCAGGAAGAAATGCACAGAGAGGATTGAATAAAATGCAACTGAGCAGGATGGAATGCACAGAGAGGATGGAATGAAATAAAATTAAACTGAGCAGGATGGAATTCACAGAGAGGATTAAATAAAATTAAACTGAGGAGGATTTCCCCAACTCCTCCAGCCTGTGTGACTCCACGTGGCAAAGGCAATGGGATCCCTTGGTTGGGGTTGGGATTTCAGAGCCCAGCCTTGGATGTTTGCTGTGACCCCACAGCTCCCCCAGGAACACCACAAGGACAAAGATTTCAGTGCCTGACACCCAATTATTTCTCCTCTGGAGCCCAGTGCCATTTTCCCTGTACTTTCCTTTTGTGCCAGTGCAGAATTCTAACCCAGCTCCACGTGCAAACGTGGCTGGGGACTCCCAAACCAGCACGGAACAGAACTGCAAGAACCAATGGGCAGGCAAAACTACCGAGGAAGGAACTCAACAGCAGAATTCAGCAACTCTGGGATGAACTCAGGCCAGTCCTGGTGACACCAGCACAGACAGCTCGGCACAAAGACGACTCCATAGTGACAGATAATGACTGCAGCTCAACCTTGCTCTGGGCAGTTATTTCAGTTTGTAGTAGGCATGCAATAGCGTGATTACACTGCTATATATACTCCTGCACCTCCTGCCTTGCTCCTTTCTCTCCTATCCTTTAGTCCCTATTTCTGTGAGGATTTTAGTGCCCTGCAAAACCCACGTCAACTAAAGAGAAGCTGCTTTTGTAATGATTATTTCTTTCTTATCATTGATTCCCCAACTTATTTTGGTTTTTTTTTGGAGGATTTTAGTGTCTTGCAAAATCACATCAACTAAAGAGAACCTTTTTTAAAAAATTATTTTTCTTATCATTCATTCCCTAATTTTAGGATTTTAGTGCTTTGCAAAACCACATCAACTAAAGAGACTTTTTAAAAAAAATTATCTCTTTCTTATCATTCATTCCCCAATTTTAGGATTTTAGTGCTTTGCAAAACCACATCAAATAAAGAGAAACTTTTTTAAAAAATTATTTTTCTTATCATTCATTCCCCTAATTTTAGGATTTTAGTGCCTTGCAATACCATGTTAACTAAAGAGACTTTTTTTTTTTTTTAATTATCTCTTTCTTATCATTCATTCCCCAATTTTAGGATTTTAGTGCCTTGCAAAACCACATCAACTAAAGAAACCAATTTTTAAAATTATTTCTTTCTCCTAATTTATTCCCCATTTTTAAAGGATTTTAATGCCCTGCAAAACCACATCAGCTAAAGAGATTTTTTAAAAAATTATCTCTTTCTTATCATTCATTCCCCAATTTTAGGATTTTAGTGCTTTGCAAAACCACATCAACTAAAGAAAACAATTTTTTAAATGATTTCTTTCTCCTAATTTATGCCCCATTTTTTTAGGATTTTAATGCCCTGCAAAACCACATCAACTAAAGAGACTTTTTAAAAAAATTATCTCTTTCTTATCATTCATTTCCCAATTTTAGGATTTTAGTGCTTTGCAAAACCACATCAACTAAAGAGAACCTTTTTTAAAAAATTATTTTTCTTATCATTCATTCCCTAATTTTAGGATTTTAGTGCCCTGCAAAACCCACGTCAACTAAAGAGAAGCTGGTTTTGTAATGATTATTTCTTTCTTATCATTGATTCCCCACCTTATTTTGGTTTTTTTTTTGGAGGATTTTAGTGCCTTGCAAAAGCACATCAGCTAAAGAGATTTTTTAAAAAATTATCTCTTTCTTATCATTCATTCCCTAATTTTAGGATTTTAGTGCCTTGCAAAACCATGTTAACTAAAGAGACTTTTTTTTTTAAATTATCTCTTTCTTATCATTCATTCCCTAATTTTAGGATTTTAGTGCTTTGCAAAACCAATCAAATAAAGAGAACCTTTTTTTTAAAATTATCTCTTTCTTATCATTCATTCCCCAATTTTAGGATTTTAGTGCCTTGCAAAATCGCATCGACTAAAGAAACCAATTTTTAAAATTATTTCTTTCTCCTAATTTATGCCCCATTTTTTTAGGATTTTAGTGCTTTGCAAAACCACATCAACTAAAGAGAACCTTTTTTAAAAAATTATTTTTCTTATCATTCATTCCCCTAATTTTAGGATTTTAGTGCCCTGCAAAACCCACGTCAACTAAAGAGAAGCTGGTTTTGTAATGATTATTTCTTTCTTATCATTGATTCCCCAACCTATTTTGGTTTTTTTTTTGGAGGATTTTAGTGCTTTGCAAAACCACATCAGCTAAAGAGATTTTTTAAAAAATTATCTCTTTCTTATCATTCATTTCCCAATTTTAGGATTTTAGTGCTTTGCAAAACCACATCAGCTAAAGAGAACCTTTTTTAAAAAATTATTTTTCTTATCATTCATTCCCTAATTTTAGGATTTTAGTGCTTTGCAAAACCACATCAACTAAAGAGACTTTTTAAAAAAAATTATCTCTTTCTTATCATTCATTCCCCAATTTTAGGATTTTAGTGCCTTGCAAAATCGCATCGACTAAAGAAACCAATTTTTAAAATTATTTCTTTCTCCTAATTTATGCCCCATTTTTTTAGGATTTTAATGCCCTGCAAAACCACATCAAATAAAGAGAACCTTTTTCTTAAAATTATCTCTTTCTTATCATTCATTCCTCAATTTTAGGATTTTAGTGCCTTGCAAAACCACGTTAACTAAAGAGAACCTAATTTTTAAAAATTATTTCTTTCTTACAATTTATTCCCCAGTTTGAGTGCCTTGCAAAACCACCTCAGCTAAAGAGAACCTAATTTTTTTAAATTATTTTTTTCTTACAATTTATTCCCCAATTTGCGTGCCTTGCAAAACCACGTTAACTAAAGAGAACCTAATTTTTTTTATTCTTTTTTTATCATTTATTCCCCAATTTGAGTGCCTTGCAAAACCACGTTAACTAAAGAGAACCTAATTTTTATTATTTTTTTCTTATAGTTTATCCCCCAATTTTAGAATTTTAGCGCCTTGCAAAACCACGTGAATGAAAGAGAACCTAATTTTTTTAAATTCTTTTTTTATCATTTATTCCCCAATTTGAGTGCCTTGCAAAACCACATCAACTAAAGAGAACCTAATATTTTTTTTCCTTATAATTTATTCCCCAATTTTAGTGCCTTGCAAAACCACGTCAGCTAAAGAGAACCTAATTTTTTTATTATATTTTCTTACAATTTATTCCCCAGTTTTAGTGCCTTGCAAAACCACGTCAACTAAAGAGAACCTAATTTTTTTATTATATTTTCTTACAATTTATTCCCCGATTTGAGTGCCTTGCAAAACCATGTTAACTAAAGAAAACCTAATTTTTTAAAATTATTTCTTTCTTACAATTTATTCCCCAAATTTAGCACCTTGCAAAACCACGTTAACTAAAGAGAACCTAATTTTTTTTCCTTATAATTTATTCCCCGATTTGAGTGCCTTGTAAAACCATGTTAGCTAAAGAGAACCTAATTTTTTTAATTATTTTTTTATAATTTATTCCCCAATTTGAGTGCCTTGCAAAACCACGTCAACTAAAGAGAACCTAATTTTTTAAATTCTTTTTTTATAATGTATTCTCCAATTTGAGTGCCTTGCAAAACCACGTTAACTAAAGAGAACCTAATTTTTATTTTTCCTTATAATCTATTCCCCAGTTTGAGTGCCTTGCAAAACCACGTCAACTAAAGAGAACCTAATTTTTTTATTATATTTTCTTACAATTTATTCCCCAGTTTTAGTGCCTTGCAAAACCATGTTAGCTAAAGAGAACCTAATTTTTATTATTCTTTTTTTGATAATTTATTCCCCAATTTGAGTGCCTTGCAAAACCACCTCAGCTAAAGAGAAACTTTTTAAATTCTTTCTTCTCATTTACACCCCACTTTATTTTTTGACCATTTTAGTACCCTGCAAAAACCCCCATCACCTAAAGACGACCGAACCAGCCGCTGCTGCTTCTCAACTGGAGTTTAGTCCTAGAGCTAAAACAAGCTTGGAGCGCGTCCTAGGCGGGGCTCAGGCCCGGCTTTAGTACTCGCTCAGGCTGTGCCACTTGGCCACGGCCTTGCCGGGGCTGTCGCACACCTGGTGCCAGTGCTCGGAGCCCGCGGCGCCGGCGCTGTGCGCGCCCAGGATCAGCCTCCCCACCGCCTCGTTCTTGGTGGTGCGCTCGAAGTCGATCACCAGGAACTCGATGCTGATGTCGGGCAGCAGATCCGCGGGGATGTCGTAGCTGAAGGACTCGTTGAACACGGGGTTCAAAGTGCATTTCTTGACGTGGGTTTTCTTCTTGGCGATGCGCTTGCGGCCGTAGTAAACGTTCACCTTGACGTAGGGGTCTGCAGGGGGAGAGGGCAGCCAGTGACACGGCCCAGGGAGCTCCAGCACGGCCTGGGGGCGCTGGCATGGACTGCTTGGGGTTGGGGGGGACTCAAAAATTCCTGCTCGTCCTGTTCCAGATCTTCTGCTACCCCAGGCAGAGCTTTGGGCTCTGGTGTGGGCTGGGAGGAACCTCAAAATCCCATTCTACTCATCCCTGTCCCATTCCACACCTTCCTTTAACCCAGATAAGAGGTTTGGGCTCTGGTTTGGGCTGGGGGGAATTAAAATCCCATTCCAGTCCTGCCCATCCCATTCCACACCTTCCTTTAACCCAGGCAGAGCTTTGGGCTCTGGTGTGGGCTGGGAGGGACTCAAAATCCCATTCTACTCATCCCCATCCCACTCCACACCTTCATCTACCCCAGGCACAGCTTTGGGCTCTGGTTTGGGCTGGCAGGAACTCAAAATCCCACTCCAGTCCTGCCCATCCCATTCCACACCTTCCTTTAACTCAGATAGAGCTTTGGGCTCTGGTGTGGGCTGGGAGGGACTCAAAATCCCATTCCAGTCCTGTCCATCCCATTCCACACCTTCCTTTAACCCAGACAGAGCTTTGGGCTGGGAGGGACTTAAAATCCCATTCTACTCATCCCCATCCCATTCCACACCTTCCTTTAACCTAGATAGAGCTTCTGGCTCTGGGGTGGGCTGGGAGGGACTCAAAATCCCATTCTACTCATCCCCATCCCATTCCACACCTTCCTTTAACCCAGATAAGAGGTTTGGGCTCTGGTTTGGGCTGGGGGTAATTAAAATCCCATTCCAGTCCTGCCCATCCCATTCCACACCTTCCTTTAACTCAGACAGAGGTTTGGGCTCTGGTGTGGGCTGGGAGGAACTTTCAAAATCCCATTCCACACCTTTCTGTACCCCAGGTAGAGGTCTGGGCTCTGGTTTGGGCTGGCAGGGACTCAAAATCCCATTCCAGTCCTGCCCATCCCATTCCACACCTTCCTCTACCCCAGACAGGGGTTTGGGTCTGGTTTGGGCTGGGAGGAACTTTCAAAATCCCATTTCACACCCTTCTGTACCCCAGGTAGAGGTCTGGGCTCTGGTTTGGGCTGGGGGGAATTAAAATCCCATTCCACTCCTGCCCACCTCATTCCACACCTTCATCTACCCCAGACAGAGGTTTGGGCTAGAGGGGGACTTAAAATCCCATTCTACTCATCCCTGTCCCATTCCACACCTTTGTCCACCCCAGGTAGAGCTTTGGGCTGGGAGGAACCTCAAAATCCCATTCCACTCATGCCCATCCCATTCCATACCTTCATCTACCCCAGGTAGAGCTGTGGGCTCTGGTGTGGGCTGGGAAGAACCTCAAAATCCCATTTTACTCATCCCTGTCCCATTCCACACCTTTGTCCACCCCAGATTGAGGTTTGGGCTGGGAGGAATTTAAAATTCCCATCCTATTCCTGCTACTCCTCCCGATCCCATTCCACACCTTCCTCTACCCCAGATGGCTCCAAGCAGGCATTGGGCACTCTGTGCTGGGAGTCACTGGGACTCACTGGATTGGGCTGGGGGGCACTCATAAATCCCATTTTACACCTTTCTGTACCCCAGGTAGAGCTTTGGGCTGGGGGGGGGACTTGAAATCCCATTCCACACCTTTCTCTATCCCAGGTAGAGCTTTGGGCTCTGGTTTGGGCTGGGAGGAACTTAAAATCCCATTCCACACCTTCCTCTACCCCAGACAGGGGTTTGGGCTCTGGTTTGGGCTGGGGGAAATTTCAAAATCCCATTCTACTCCAGCCCATCCCATTTCACATCCCCTTCCTCTACCCCAGGTAGAGGTTTGGGCTCTGCTTTGGGCAGGGAGGGATTGAAAATCTCATTCCATTCCTCCCCATCCAATCTCACACCTTCTTCTACCCCACATGGCTCCAGCCTGGCCTTGGGCACTGCCAGGGATCCAGGGGCAGCCCCAGCTGCTCTGGGCAATCTCTTTTCATGAGTTTAATCCCAAATGTCCAAAGATTGGGGAGCTCGGGAGTTTCAGCTCCTCATCCCCTCCCAGTTTAGGTGCAAGGGGATTTTTGGTGGGGGGAATTCTGAGCAATGTTCTCATGGAACCATGGAATGGTTTGGGTTGGAATAGACCCAAAAACTCCTCCAGTGCCATGGCAGGGACCCTTTCCACCATCCCAGGGTGCTCCAAGCCCTGCCCAACACTGCCAGGGATGCAGGGCAGCCCCAGCTGCTCTGGGCAATCTGTTCAATGTGTTCATTCCCAGATGTCCAAAGATTGGGGAGCTCAGGAGTTTCAGCTCCTCAGCCCCCCCCAGTTTAGTGCAAGAGGATTTTTGGTGGGGGGGAATTCTGAGCAATGTTCTCATGGAACCATGGAATGGTTTGGGTTAAAAGAGACCTTAAAACTCATCCAGTGCCATGGCAGGGACACCTTCCACCATCCCAGCCCTGTCCAGCCTGGCCCTGGGCACTGCCAGGGATGCAGGGCAGCCCCAGCTGCTCTGGGCACCTGTGCCAGGGCCTCACACCCTCCCTGCCAGGAATTTCTGCCCCATATCCCATCCATCCCTGCCTCTGGCTCCCTGCAGCCCTGGAAATCCACCCTGAGCTCACCCCAAACCCTCTGCTCCCCACCCTGAGCACCCCACCCTTGCTCAGGAGCCCAACAAAGGCTCGATTTCAGTTAATTTGCAATCATTTGCTGCCAGCAGAAGGTACTGGGAAAGAAAAAATTTAAAACAAAGCCTCCCTTTTCCCCCCAGCTGCTCTTTATGCAGCCACTGGATTACAATCAAGATACCAGGCACTGAGGGATTTTTTTTTCATTCCATACAAGTTTTGAAGGTCCTTGCTTGGCTGGCACTGCCTCTTTTTCACCTTTTTTTTTGTTTGTTTCACCCAGCTAAAATGGGTTTATGCATAATACAAAGATCATAAAATAAACAGTGTTGGTCACAAGGTTCTGCAGGTAGGACATCCCTACCAATTTTATCCTGTGCTTGGAGACTACACAAGCACAGCTTTTTCTTTTCTTTTCCCTTAAAGAGTAAAATGTAGGGCCTACAATAATTCAGCCTAGTCTGCATTCCCCCTGAGGTGCCCAGGAGAAAGCTGTAAAACCAGGACTAGGTTTGAATCCCAACTCGATCCCAACCATTTCCCCACGATCCTGAAGGAGAATTTGCTAAGGAGATTCAGGAGTGTGAAAATCTGTGAGACAGCAAAGGCAGAACAGCTGCTCTGCTGCTCTCCTCTCTTCAAACAGCACCACAGAAATGAAAACACCCAAAACCAGAATTTTTGGGAGCAAAGCCTGACCCTCCTGGCAGGAGCTGTGCAGAGCCACAAGGGCCCCCTGAGCCTCCTTTGCTCCAGGCTCAGCCCCTGCTCAGCTCCCTCAGGAATTCTCCATTTCCTTTCCCAGCTCCCTCAGAAATTCCCAGCTCCCTCAGAAATTCCCAGCTCCCTCAGGAATTCTCCATTCCCTTCCCAGTTCCCTCAGGAATTCCCAGTTCCCTCAGGGATTCTCCATTCCCTTCCCAGTTCCCTCAGGAATTCTCCATTCCCTCCCCAGCTCTGGACACTGAGTTCCAGCCCCTCCAGGTCTTTCTTGACCTGAGGAACCCAAACGTGAGCCCAGGATTTGAGGCTCCTCAGCAGTGCCCAGCTCAGGGGATGGCCCTGCCCTGCTCCTGGGCACAGCTGGGCACAGCTGGGCACAGCTGGGCTGGTGTCCAGCTCCCACCAGGCAGGACCATTCCCAGTTTTCCTCACAGCCAAGGCCTCATCCTGTGGATTCCATGGATCCAGGATGTTCAGCACAGAGCTGCTGCCTCCACAAAGCCCTGCCTGCATGAAGAGCTCCCTCCCAGCAGAAAGAATTTGGGTCTGCACAACCAATTCCACTCAAATCCCACTGATTTTTTGGTGGATTTTCAGCACCTGAGCCCCTCAGGCTCTTCAGGAGTGTCCTGAGGCCTCACCAAGGCTGCATTTGTTACCAAAGGGCTCTGAGGGGTTTAGGAGCTCCAATTCCACTGATTTTTGGTGGAGCTTCAATAGCTGAGCCCTTCAGGCTCTTCAGGAGTGTCCTGAAGGTCTCACCCAGGCCACCTTGGGGGATTGAGGGGTTCCACTGATTTTTGGTGGATTTTCTGTAGTTGAGCCCCTCTTGAGGAGTGTCCTGAAGCTCTCACCAAGGCTGCCTTGGGGAATTGAGGAGTTTAGGAGCTCCAATTCCACTGATTTTTGGTGGATTTTCAGCACCTGAGCCCCTCAAGCTGTTCAAGAGTGTCCTGAAGGTCTCACCAAGGCTGCCTTGGGGGATTGAGGGGTTCCACTGATTTTTGGTGGATTTTCAGCACCTGAGCCCCTCAGGCTCTTCAGGATCTCTTGAGGCCTCACCAAGGCTGCCTTGGAGGATTGAGGGGTTTAGGAGCTCCAATTCCACTGATTTTTGGTGGGGCTTCAGCACTTGAGGCCCTCAAGCTGTTCAAGAGTGTCCTGAAGCTCTCACCAAGGCTGCCTTGGGGGATTGAGGGGTTTAGGAGCTCCAATTCCACTGATTTTTTGTGGATTTTCAGCAGCTGAGCCCCTCAGGCTCTTCAGGAGTGTCCTGAGGTCTCACCAAGGCTGCCTGAGGGGATCTGTTACTAAAGGGCTCTGAGGGATTTAGGAGCTCCAATTCCACTGATTTTTTGTGGATTTTCAGCACCTGAGCCCCTCAGGCTCTTCAGGAGTCTCTTGAGGCCTCACCAAGGCTGTCCTGGAGGATTGAGGGGTTTAGGAGCTCAAATCCCACTGATTTTTTGGTGGATTTTCAGCACCTGAGCCCCTCAGGCTCTTCAGGAGTCTCTTGAGGCCTCACAAGGCTGCCTTGGGGGGTTTAGGAGCTCCATCACAGGTGAGTGATGGAGAAGCACTCAGAGCAACCCAAAACCCTGGAGAAGAATTTGAGGAAAAATGCGTGAACAACCCAAATCTTCAACTAAAACAAAGGAAAAGCCCTGCAGGGTGAATTCAGGGATTTCTGGTTTTCCCACCCACTCCAAGGTGGAGAAAATAGCTTCTACCTGAGAGGCCAGTGATGTCCATCTTTGGCAAGTGCCTGGCTTTCAGCACCACCACAGTCATCCTCTGTGCCATGGGCTGGTAGGACAGGGACACCTGCAGCTCCCCTCTGCTGATGCACTTCTGCCAAAAAACACACACAGCTCCTCAGCAAGGCTGCTCTGCACACTGGGAGGGCCCCAGAATTGCCCTCCCTGGTGGTAAATGCATTAAAAAGTAGGAAAATGAGCCCCAGGTGTGTCAGCTCTGCAAGATAAATCAGCAAAAATATGGATTTGGGGGAAAAGCAGAATTTGTGGCTGAGGATCTGCATCGTTCCTGCTTGTAGAACCACTGAGGGTCCTTGATTAAAATCACTGGGGTCAAACACAAAAAATAGGAATTTGGGGAAAAACCAGAATTTATGGCTGAGGATCTATATTATTCCTGCTTGATAAACCATGGAGGCTCCTGGATCAAAAGCTTTGGGATCAAACACAACCATATCACACCAAAAATATGAAATTGTGGGAAAAATAGAATTTATGGCTGAGGATCTGCATCGTTCCTGTTTGTAGAACCACTGAGGGTCCCAGATTAAAATCTCTGGGGTCAAACACAGCCATATCACACCAAAAATATGAAATTGTGGAAAAAACAGAATTTATGGCTGAGGATCTATATTATTCTTTCTTCTTAAACCATGGAGGCTCCTAGATCAAAAGCTTTGGGATCAAACACAGCCATATCACACCCAAAATATGAAATTGTGGAAAAAACAGAATTTGTGGCTGAGGCTCATGGAGGCTCCTGGATCAAAATCTCTGAGATCAAACACAGCCATATCACACAAAAAAAAAAAAAAAAAAGAAATTGTGGAAAAACCAGAATTTGTGGCTGAGGATCTGCATTATTCCTGCTTGTAGAACCACTGAGGGTCCCAGATCAAAATCTCTGGGGTCAAACACAGCCATATCACACCCAAAATAGGAATTTGGGGGAAAAAACAGAATTTATGGCTGAGGATCTGCATCATTCCTGCTTGATAAACCATGGAGGGTCCCAGATCAAAATCTCTGGGGTCAAACACAGCCATATCACACCCAAAATATGAAATTGTGGAAAAAGCAGAATTTATGGCTGAGGATCTGCATCATTCCTGTTTGTAGAACTACTGAGGGTCCCAGATCAAAATCTCTGGGGTCAAACACAGCCATATCACACCCAAAATAGGAATTTGGGGGAAAAAAACAGAATTTATGGCTGAGGATCTGCATCATTCCTGCTTTTTAAGCAACTGAGGCTTCCAGATCAAAAGCTCTGGGAGCAAACACAGTGCAAAGAGTCACCCACATGGAACAGATCCTTTTGAGGGTCTCCCTGGTGAGCTGGACCTTCAGATCCACCTCTGCAAGGTGGATATATCACCAAAAATATGCATTGGGGGAAAAAACAGAATTTAAAAACAGAATTTAAAAACAGAATTTGTGGCTGAGGATCTGCATTGTTCCTGCTTGTAAACCACTGAGGGTCCCAGATTAAAATCACTGGGGTCAAACACAACCATATCACATCAAAAATAGGAATTTGGGGAAAAAACAGAATTTATGGCTGAGAATCTGCATCATTCCTGCTTGATAAACCATGGAGGCTCCTGGATCAAAATCTCTGGGGTCAAACACAACCATATCACACCCAAAATATGAAATTGTGGAAAAAACAGAATTTATGGCTGAGGATCTATATTATTCTTTCTTGTTAAACCATGGAGGCTCCTGGATCAAAAGCTTTGGCATCAAACACAGCCATATCACACAAAAAATATGAAATTGTGGAAAAAATAGAATTTATAGCTGAGGATCTGCATTATTCCTGTTTGTAGAACCACTGAGGGTCCCAGATTAAAATCACTGGGGTCAAACACAGCCATATCACACCCAAAATAGGAATTTGTGGAAAAAATCAGAATTTATGGCTGAAAATATGCATTATTCCTGCTTGTTAAACCATGGAGGCTCCTGGATCAAAATCTCTGGGGTCAAACACAACCATATCACACCCAAAATATGAATTTGTGGGAAAAACAATTTGTGGCAGAAGATCTGCATCATTCCTGTTTGTAGAACCACTGAGGGTCCCAGATTAAAATCTCTGGGGTCAAACACAGCCATATCACACCAAAAATATGAATTTGTGGAAAAAACAGAATTTATGGCTGAGGATCTGCATCATTCCTGCTTGATAAACCACTGAGGGTCCCGGATTAAAATCTCTGGGGTCAAACACAACCATATCACGCCCAAAATATGAAATTGTGGGAAAAGCCAGAATTTATGGCTGAAAATCTGCATCATTCCTGCTTGATAAACCATGGAGGCTCCTGGATCAAAATCTCTGGGGTCAAACACAGCCATATCACACCAAAAATATGAAATTGTGGAAAAAATAGAATTTATGGCTGAGGATCTGCACTATTCCTACTCGATAAACCATGGAGGGTCCCAGATCAAAAGCTCTGGGGTCAAACACAGCCATATCACACCCAAAATAGGAATTTGGGGAAAAAACAGAATTTGTGGCTGAGGATCTGCATCATTCCTGATCTGAATCTTCCAGATCAAAATCTCTGGGGTCACACACAGGCCAAAGAGCCAGCGTGTGGGAACTCAGCACATCGCTCCCGATGTCCAGAGATGCCAGGAGAACCCTTGGGGGTCTCGGAAACCCTGGAATGTTGCCAGGAGTGTTTGGTGGCTTGATTTTGATCCATCCACAGAAGTGACAGCAGTTTGAGGGCATGAGAATCACTTTAGAGTGAAGGGTGTAAAAGGGACACATTTAGAGGGTGAAATATAAACTTTAAGGTTTTTGGTACAGGGGGGTTATGGAGACAAGATGGAGGGATCAGGGCGTGTCTCGTCCTTCTTCTTTCTTCTTCTTGTCCTCCATCTCCTGTGGTGATGTTGGCACTTGGGGATTGGTTTATGGTGAAGGTGCACTTGCCAACATGGGTGAAAAGCATTGGGAAATAAAGGTAAATATCATGTAGGTAGATTTTAGTATAAAAAGACATGACCGCCCCGTGGGTGGGCAGAGTGCCCTTGGCTGCCTTGCAGGTCAGACCTCTGCTGGGCAGACAGAAAATTCTGTCTGTAGATAAGAAACAATCAACAATCTGAAGATGGAAAAGCTGAAGAGTCCAGACTCGTCCTTTGAAACGTGGGCAGCCCCAGAACCGCCCTACCCGTGTGGGGCAGAGACAGACAGACAGACAGACAGACAGACCCCACACCCACATGGAAGCAGGGTGACCATACTCACTTGTATGTTCCTCTTGAGGATCTCCCTGGTGAGCTGGACCTTGCCAGTGCTGGGATCCACGCCCGCGAGCGGCACCATCACCTCCCCAATCACATCATCCCGGGAGAAGCGGTCGAAGCTGAGCACCAGGAAGTGCAGCACCAGGTCCTGCAGCTGGCTGTAGGGGATCCCATAAAAGGTGAAGGTCTCGTCAAAAACGGGCTCCAGGGTCTTGCGGAGCACGCGGGTCTTGACGCGGTGCCTCTTGTCGGGCAGAATCGTCATCTTGATGTAGGGGTCGGAGCTCTGGGTGTGCTCATCCATCACGGGCAGCCCGTGGGCCTCCTGGATGGTGACCACCAGGGCCTTTTTGGGGAAGTTGTAGTCCACTGAGAAAGTCAGGTCTCCCAGCATGACGTCGTCGCCCGGAGAGGAGGGAGAGGAGGTTTTACTTCCTCCCGGAGTGAGGCTTTGATCTGGGCTGAGTTCATCTCCATAATCCACTTTGATGGGGAGCTGCTCCACCTGGGGGGGCCCATCTGGAGCCTTGCTGGGGCCCACCAGGCCAGCCTCAGCAGCATCCACCAGGAGGTTCCCCCTGCCGCCGCCCTCCTTGGCCGCGCCGCTCTTGTCTCTGCGGATCCGGTTGATTTTCTTCTTGTTGCTCAAGGTCTCCGGGTAGATGCTGATGCCTTTCAGCATGTGAATGAATTTGTAAGGGGGGGTTTTGTGCTTCTTTTCTGCTTGCTGGTGACAGCATGTCCACACAAAGACTGTGACTGAGACAGAAACCACCAGCACGGTGGCTCCAATGAGTCCTGCCACCACGGGGGACACATCTGTGGGGAGACAAGGCAGTGAGGAGCAGCACACCCGATGACACACTCCTGCCACGCTTAATTCTGGCATCTGCACATCACAGCTTCCCCAGGCATCATTTCTATCTCTAAATTCATTTCTCAAACTCCTAAGGCATGCCTGACCCGTTTTCCATGAGCTAAGGAAGGATCCCTGTCCTGCCACCATGAGGGACACATCTGTGGGAAGTCACAGTGAGGAGCAGCACACCTGATGCAGATCCACACACTCCTGTCACACTCTTAATTCTGGCATCTGCCTATCACAGCTTCCCCAGACATCACTTCCATCCCTAAATTTATTTCTCACACTCCTAAGGCATGTCTGATCTGTGTTCCATGGGCTAAGGAAGGATCCCTGTCCTGACACCACAGGGGGAAGTCAAGGCAGTGAGGAGCAGCACACCTGATGCAGATCCACACACTCCTGTCTCACACTTAATTCTGGGATCTGCCTATCACACTTCCCCAAACATCATTTTTAATCTCTAAATTTATTTCTCACACTCATAAGGCATGCCTGACCCGTTTTCCATGAGCTAAGGAAGGATCCCTGTCCTGCCACCACACACCTGGCTGCAGATCCACACATCCCTGTCCTGCTTTTAACTCTAGGATCTGCCTATCACAGCTAACCCAAAATTTATTTCTCACACTCTCAAGGCATGCCTGACCTGTGTTCCATGAGCTAAGGAAGGATCCCTGTCCTTCCACCATGAGGGACACACCTGTGGGCAGTGAGGAGCAGCACACCCGATGCAGATCCACACACTCCTGTTGTGATTTTACCTCTAGGATCTGCCTATCACAGCTTCCCCAAAATTTCTTTCTCACACTCCTAAGGCATGCCTGACCTGTGTTCCATGGGCTAAGGAAGGATCCCTGTCCTGCCACCACAGGGGGAAGCCAAGGCAGTGAGGAGCAGCACACCCGATGCAGATCCACACACTCCTGTCCTGCTTTTAACTCTAGGATCTGCCTATCACAGCTTCCCCAAAATTCATTTCTCACACTCCTAAGGCATGCCTGGCCTGTGTTCCATGGGCTAAGGAAGGATCCCTGTCCTGCCATCATGAGGGACACACCTGTGGGAAGTCACAGTGAGGAGCAGCACACATGGCTGCAGATTTACACACTCCTGTCACACTTTTAACTCTAGGATCTGCCTATCACAGCTTCCCTAGACATCATTTTTAATCTCTAAATTCATTTCTCACACTCCTAAGGCATGTCTGACCTGTGTTCCATGAGCTAAGGAAGGATCCCTGTCCTGCCACCACAGGGGGAAGTCAAGGCAGTGAGGAGCAGCACACCTGATGCAGATCCACACACTCCTGTTGTGCTGTTAACTCTAGGATCTGCCTATCACAGCTTCCCCAGACATCATTTTTAATCTCTAAATGTATTTCTCACACTCCTAAGGCATGCCTGACCCGTTTTCCATGAGCTAAGCAAGGATCTCTGTCCTGCCACCATGAGGGACACATCTGTGGGAAATCACAGTGAGGAGCAGCACACCTGGCTGCAGATCTACACACTCCTGTCTCACACTTAATTTTGGGATCTGCCTATCACAGCTTCCCCAGACATCACTTCTAAATCTAAATTTCTTTCTCACACTCCTAAAGCATGCATGACCTGTGTTCCATAGGCTAAGGAAGGATCCCTGTCCTGCCACCACACACCTGGCTGCAGATCCACACACTCCTGTCCTGCTTTTCACTCTAGGATCTGCCTACCACAGCTTCCCCAAAATTTCTTTCTCACACTCCTAAGGCATGCCTGACCCGTGTTCCATGAGCTAAGGAAGGATCTCTGTCCTTCCACCATGAGGGACACATCTGTGGGGAGACAAGGCAGTGAGGAGCAGCACACCCAATGCAGATCCACACACTCCTGCCACACTTAATTCTGGCATCTGCCTATCACAGCTTCCCCAGGCATCACTTCCATCCCTAAATTTATTTCTCACACTCTCAAGGCATGTCTGACCTGTGTTCCATGGGCTAAGGAAGGATCTCTGTCCTGCCACCACACACCTGGCTGCAGATCCACACATCCCTGTCCTCTACCCTGCTTTTCACTCTAGGATCTGCCTATCACAGCTTCCCCAAAATTTATTTCTCACACTCTCAAGGCATGCCTACATCACTGCTATCTCTAAATTCATTTCTCACACTCCTAAGGCATGTCTGACCTGTGTTCCATGAGCTAAGGAAGGATCTCTGTCCTTCCACCATGAGGGACACACCCATGGACAGTGAGGAGCAGTACACATGGCTGCAGATCCACTCCTGTCACACTCTTAATTCTGGCATCTGCATATCACAGCTTCTCCAGACATCATTTTTAATCTCTAAATTCATTTCTCACACTCCTAAAGCATGCCTGACCTGTGTTCCATGGGCTAAGGAAGGATCTCTGTCCTGCCACCACAGGGGGAAGCCAAGGCAGTGAGGAGCAGCACACCTGACTGCAGATCCACACACTCCTGTCGTGCTTTTCACTCTAGGATCTGCCTATCACAGCTTCCCCAGACATCATTTTTAATCTCTAAATGTATTTCTCACACTCCTAAGGCATGCCTGACCTGTTCCCTGAGCTAAGGATCTCCAACTGTTGATTGCCTTATCTTGCCAAACCCAGCTCCTGCATCACCAGCATCTCCATAGGAACGCTGCCTCTTGATGTGCAGGAAACATTTTCTTTTATTTTTTTAATGCCCTGTTCAGGAACGTTACACAATTCTATTTTCACAACAGGGAGGGAGTAATAAATATGGCCATAATGCTGGATTTGAGATTAACAATATTTAAAATTTCCCTTTGCCCTGAATTGGTTGTTTTGCCCTGGCCTTTGTGGCTGAATCCAGGGGTAAACATGAAATCCCCCATGGAAATCCAGAGTCCAAACCAACAGACAGAAAATCCTAGGCTTGGATTTAGGGATTATCTGATATTTTCTAGATTTTATGCCAATTGTGTTAATCAGTAATGACAAGGCAGAATGAAAAAAAAAAATTTAAAAATTTTAAAAAAAAAGTTAATTTTTAATTTTATTCTTATTTGCTGATGGAAAAGTTTTACCAAGGCACAGAATGAACCCAGTGGTGCTGAGCTCCCCAGGGCACTGCACTGACATCCTCAGCACTTCTGAGAGCGCTGAAAGCCTGGCCTGGGTGGGGAGCACATGGAGGAGAAGGAGATGCAAAAAGAGCTGGGGCTGTTCACTCTGAAAAGGGGAGGAAAAGGAGGGGATTTTTTGCTGTCTTCAGTTTCTTGGTGGGAGGTTTTGGGAAGGTTTAAGTTTCATGTAGCTTATTTTTGTATTCCTGGTTTTAAAGCCGTTTTCTTTTATTTTTTGGAAGCCAGCAAACAAACAAACAAACAAACAAACAAAAATCCCTCTAAGCCCTTTTTTCTTTCTTTCACAAATTGTCCAAACCACTCCTTTACCAAAAACCCTTGGCATGACAATGGTGGCAGTAGCCAAATGAGACAGCTGGTTAAAGAAATGTCAACTTGTCTCATTCTCCTCTTCATTCTGTACCACAAACAGGAGGAAATAATCTCCTAATCTCGTCCTTGAAGCTACAGAGAGCACCACGAGTTTGGATTTTCTCTGTTCTTCCCACATCCCCATTTACTGAGGCCAACAGGCTGTAAACTGAGCACTGACAGACCCAGGGAAAATCATTTTGCCTGCTCCCAAAACTGGGAAAATCACTTTTAGTTAGACAGAAACCTTTCTGCCCTGCAGCTGGGATCTGTGGCTGATTCCACAGAGAGAAACCTGTCCCAGAGCCTGGGATTGAATTCATGAAAGCAAGAAAAATTCATAATATTGACAAAACACCGCCCCAAAAACCAAGTTTGTTATTTAATGTTCAGTTTGTTATTTAATGTTCCCTCTTTGATATGAAGCAAATGTTCTTCAACAGCTCCTTTGGAGACAACTCAGTTTAAAAGGCTTTGGTGGATGTGTAAGAAAATGCTGAAACCCCATTCTTATTCTTATTCTTATTCTTATTCTTATTCTTATTCTTATTCTTATCCTCATTCTTGGTGTGTGTTTTATTTCTATTGTGTCCTCACAGGATCAACTCTTGTACCTTCATTTCTTGCACCTCTGATGGGACAATTACCCAACAGCCACACCAGAAAGCACCAAATAAATCTTTTCTCTCACTGAATTGTTGTGAATCTAAAAATTATTTCAACTGTGAATATTATTTCAGCTCTGAATATTATTTCAGCTGTGAATATTATCTCATCCAGTGCCTGTTGGTGCCTCAGTTACTCACAATCCCCCTTGTCCTGGCTGAAGGCTCCTATTTATGTAATTATTCCATCCATCTTTTGCTCCTGTCTCCATCATCTCTGAAAACTGCATTGCTCTAAAGCTGCCAAAACCAAATTTTAGTGAAGTTCTGCAGCTTTCAGAGCACTCCCCACACCCAATGTCCACTTGAAATGGCAGCACAGCCTCCCTCCAGCACAGCAGAGCTTTGGTTTTTTCATCCAAACTTTGTGGAAGCTGCCTTTGCTCCAATATGACCCTACAATTTGACCAGAAGAAAATAAAAATCACTGAAAACCTCCTTTCAAACCTGATCTTTGCTAAGGACACCCCAATGGTTAAATGGAAACACAAGGTAAGAGGGAAGTGGGGCTGTTTGCCATGAGATAAATGGTGCTGGGTGGAAGAATATCCCTAAATAATTTGGGATTCAGGGGAAATGAAGCACCCAGGCATGGCCAGGGCCTGCAGGGTGGGAGGGGAAGGTCAGAGGGGCTGCAGGACAGGAGGGGAGAGAGGTTGGGATGCCCAGAGCTGGAGAAACCCCTGCCCTCCTCACCCTAGGGCTGCACCAAGAACATCCCAAACCCAGCGGTTCTGGGCCCCAAAACCATCCCAAACCCAGCAGTTCTGGGCCCAAAAACATCCCAAATTCTCAGCCCCCAAAACATCCCAAACCCAGCAGTTCTGGGCCCCCAAAACCATCCCAAACCCAGCAGTTCTGGGCCCCAAAACCTTCCCAAACCCAGCAGTTCTGGGCCCCAAAACACCCCAAATTCTCAGCCCCCAAAACCATCCCAAACCCCAGCGGTTCTCAGCACCAAAAACACCCCAAATTCTTGGCCCCCAAAACCATCCCAAACCCAGCGGTTCTCAGCCCCAAATACAACCCAAACCCAGCGGTTCTGGGCCCCAAAACCATCCCAAACCCCAGTGGTTCTGGGCCCCCAAAATATCCCAAATCTCAGGGGTTCTCAGATACAAAACCACCCCAAATTCTCAGCCCCAAAAACATCCCAAACCCCAACGGTTCTCAGCCTCAAAAACATCCCAAACCCAGCGGTTCTCAGCACCAAACACACCCCAAATTCTTGATCCTAAAAACATCCCAAACCCCAGTGGTTCTCAGCCCCAAAAATCATCCCAAACCAAGCGGTTCTGGGCCCCAAAACATCCCAAACCAAGCGGTTCTCAGCCTCAAAAACACCCCAAACCCCAGCGGTTCTGGGCCCCAAAAACATCCCAAACCCAGCAGTTCTCAGCCTCAAAACCATTCCAAACCCCAGCGGTTTTCAGCACCAAAACCATCCCAAACCCAGCGGATCTGGGCCCCAAAACCACCCCAAACCCAGCAGTTCTCAGCCTCAAAAACATCCCAAATTCTCAGCCCCCAAAACCATCCCAAACCCAGCAGTTCTGGGCCCCAAAACCATCCCAAACCCCAGCAGTTCTGGGCCCCCAAAACATCCCAAATTCTCTGCACCAAAAACCATCCCAAACCCCAGCAGTTCTGGGCCCCCAAAACATCCCAAATTCCCGGCCCCAAAACCATCCCAAACCCCAGCGGTTCTTGGCCGCCAAAACCATCCCAAACCCCAGCAGTTCTGGGCCCCAAAACCATCCCAAATTCTCGGCCCCAAAACCATCCCAAACCCAGCGGTTCTGGGCCCCCAAACCATCCCAAACCCAGCGGTTCTGGGCCCCAAAACCATCCCAAACCCAGCGGTTCTCAGCCTCAAAAACATCCCAAATTCTCAGCCCCCAAAACCATCCCAAACCCAGCGGTTCTGGGCCTCAAAAATATCCCAAACCCCAGCAGTTCTGTGCCCCCAAAACCATCCCAAACCCCAGCGGTTTTCAGCACCAAAACCATCCCAAAACCAGCGGTTCTCGGCCCGACGCCGCCGGGCTGGGCACGCACGGAGCTCAGCGGGGTTTGGAGCTTCTCCATCGCCCCCGCGGCGCTCCCGGTACCGGCTCCCGGCTCCGCCCGGGCCGGTTCCCCCTCCCCGCCGCCGAGCATCCCCCGGTGCCCCGGGCAGGCCCCGCCTTGTGGCGCCGGTGCCGGTGCCGCAGCCGCCCCGGGGAGCGCGAACAAAGGCCGGGGCGCGGCGCGGCCCGGCACAGACATCACGTCATCGGCCCGGGCTGCACCTGCACCGGCCCCCGCTCCGCCAGCCACCGCCGCCACCGGCCCCGCGCCGCGGCCCAGCGCTGGCACCGCCCCAGCAGCGGGGACCGCGGCGGGAGCGGCATCGCCCGGCCCGCGGGGGCGGAGGGGCCGCGGGATGCTGAGGGGCCGGGGCCGGGCGATGCTGAGGGCCCGGGGGATGCTGAGGGGCGGCGGGTGCGGAGGCCCCCGAGCGGCGCTCCCGTCCCCGCGCGGCCACAGCGGGGCCGAAGGCGCCGCGCACGGCCCGGCCCCGGGGGCGCCTCTCGGGGCTCCGCCGGGACGGACGGGCCGCAGTCGGGGCCGCCGCGGCCCGGCCGCACTCACCGAAGCCGGGGTGGACACTGGTGATCTCGGCCATGGCCCCGCCGAGGCCGGGGCCGCGGGGGTGCGGGCCCGGTGCGGAGGATGCTGGCGGCCGGGATGCAGGAGCTGCCGACTGGTCCCGCTGCGGCGCTCGCCCCGCCCGGCCCCGCCCCGCCCGCGGCGGCCCCGCCCGGCGGTGACTCGGCAACTGTCGGGGCTCCGGGCACGGAGCCGCGGGGCGTGTGCCTGCGGTGCCTGAGCCGCGCTCCCACCGGGAGCTGACGGCACCGGCAGCACCGGGCGGACCCGCTGCGCCCCACGGGGACACCCCCGGCGGCGGAGGCGGGCGGGCAGCGCGGTGTGTGAGTGTCTCTGTGTGTGTGAGGGGTCGCACCGGGCCCCGGCGGCGGCGGCGCCCAGCGAAGATGGCGGTGACCGCGCTCGGTGCCCCCCCCTCACTGCCCCCCCCGGCCCCGCCTGACCGGGGCCCCGCCGGGGACCGGCCCCGGTCGCGCATGCGCAGAGCGAGCTCCGGTCGCTTCCGCTTCCTGCGCGGCGAGCGGGAGCGGGCGGCCGGAGCGGGGCCCGCAGCAGCCCCGGAGCGGCCCCGCCATGGCCATGGCGCTCAAGATGCTGCCCTGCAAGAAGCGCAGAGCGGCGGCGGCGGGGCCGCCGAGCCCCCGGGAGCGCGGGGAGGACGCGGAGCTGCCCGGAGGCTCCGGTGCTGCCGATGGAGGCGGCTCCGCCAGGCCCGCGGGGAGGGGGCCCGGGGAGGCCTCGCCGAAGAGCGGCAGGAAAGCCCCCGTGAGGGCGGCCCTGAGCCCCGGGCAGGAGCTCCCCGCGGGGCCCGGCAGCCCGGCGGCGGAAGGTACCGGGGGGGCCGCGGCTTTGCGCCCTGGGATTCTGTGTTTATTTTGTTTCGGGTTTTTTTTCCTAAGGAAGTGTTACTGATTAAAATGAAAATGAGGTTTTCCCCGCTGTTTTATCATCCCTGGAGGTGTCCAAGGCTGGGCTGGACGGTGGAAGGTGTCCCTGCCGTGGCAGGGGTGGGATGGGATGGGATTTATGTTCCCTCCCCACACGAACCATTCCGTGATTATTTGGGAAAGGGTCCGTGGGTGTTTCTGAGGCCCCGTGAGGCCGGAGATGAGGGGATTGGAGCCTTTCAGACAAGGAGAGGCTGAGGGAGCTGGGGCTGCTCAGCCAGGAGAGGATCCCAGCTGAGAGGGGCCTCAGCCCTGGGTGTCTGTGAGTGTCCTCAGGTGTCCCTGTCTGTCTCTGGGTTTCCACGGGTGTCCCTGGGTGTATCCCTGAGTGTCCCTGTGTCCCTGTCTGTCCCAGTCTGTCCCTGTGTGCAGAGGTCAGAGCAGCCCCAGGCTCTGCTCCAGGCCCAGCAATGGCCCCAGAGCCACGGGCAGGGCCTGAGCCCAGGAGCTGCCCCTGGCCAGGAGGCAGAGCTGCTGCCCTGGGCAGTGCCCAGCGCTGAGCAGAGCCCAGAGAGGCTGTGGAGCCTCCGTGCCTGGGGATCCCAGAGCCACCTGCAACAGCCCTGGGATGTCCCTGCCTGGGGATCCCAGAGCCACCTGCAACAGCCCTGGGATGTCCCTGCCTGGGGATCCCAGAGCCACCTGCAACAGCCCTGGGGTGTCCCTGCCTGGGGATCCAGAGCCACCTGCAACAGCCCTGGGATGTCCCTGCCTGGGGGTCCCAGAGCCACCTGGCCCCTGGGATGTCCCTGCCTGCACAGGTGGCACAGGTGACCCTCTGTGGTCCCTTCAGACTTGATGGTTTCTGTGATTCTCAGTGGGAATCATCTCTGGTTCTTGTGCTGCTGTGTTGAGCTCCCTGATTTGAGTGAAAGCTGAGTTGGTGTCAAGGAAGGAGGTGGAACAGGGCAGTTCCCAGTTGTTTCCTGCCCAGAACAGGAGGGGAAGGGTTTGATGGGTTTGTAGCCACCCCTGCAGCCATGTGGCTTCCTTAGCCCATGAAAATTCATCCCAAGGGTGCAGCCAAGTGTGCAGGGAAGAACCCCCTGGCTGTGCTGCTCCTCCTGTGGCAGGAGCCCTTGTACAGCAGGGACTTCAGCCACGGTTTGGAGAAATCCCCAGGTTCTGGCACTTGGCTGGTGTGGCAGGGGAGGGTTTGAGCGGGGCTGTGCCCAGCTGACAGTGAGGCTGAAAGAGCTGGAATGGGATCTCTGTTCCCAGCAGGATGGAGCTGCTGCTGCCCTGTGCAGCTGCATCACACCTGGGGCTGTTGGTTTGCTGTGTTTGAATGGGAAATTCAATGGGAAATGAGTGGAAAGTTAATTTGTAAAGTGTAGCACTCGCTGTGGTGTGTTAGCTTTGCTCTGTGGTGTATCTGCCTGCAGCTGGCTGTTCTGTTTCCAGGGAAAATCCCTAAGCTGTACACAGAGGTGGAAGTGAGTTCTCAGAGGGATCTGTATCCAAGTGAGAACCCTGGGCCGGTGCCAGAGTCTCCAGGGAGAAGCTCCCTGCAGGTTTCTGCTGCCAGAAACCCCACCACCATGAAGCCACCCAAGAACACCAGGGCTGGTGAGTGCTCCCAGCAGAATGATGAGGACAGTTGGGATTTGGGGCTGGTTTGGGTCAATCTGGCTGATACAGCAAACTCTGGAATTGGGAAGATGGTGGGGGCTGTGTAGGTTCAGGGGTTTTTTTACATTTTCATCTTGTGCTCCTCCATAATTCAGTGGAACTTGCTGGAGTTGATCTCTGCAATTTTTGGCTACTAAAAATCACTGCTCTGCTTCAGAGAAAATCAAGATTCTTTTCTTTCTCTGATTCAGCAAAGTAGGAAAACACTTTTTGACTCCTGGAAACTGTAACCTGTTCTTGCTGTGTGGTACCTGGAGTTTTACAGCATTATTCAAGGTGGAAAGGTTTTACAGCATTATTCAAGGTGGAAAGGTTTTACAGCATTATTCAAGGTGTAAAAAGGCTGCTGAGGCCATTTTATAAATCATTCTGGAGGAGGTGGCAGCTGCACGACCTTCATGTGCTCAAGTAACTCAGGTCCTGCAGAACTTGAATCCATCACTCTTTTAGTTTTTAGTTCTCATGGCTGTTCCTGTTTGGGTGGTCTTGCCTCAGCTGATGGAAATTCTGCTGTTTCTTGCAAGAATCTGTGCAAGGAGAATCTTTTCAAGATGGGTCTTGCAAGGGAAACCTTTGCAAGGAGAATCATCTTTGCAAGGGGAACCTGTGCAAGGGGAATGTGAAAAACGCCAATCACTCGTTTTTAAAATTTTAAAAGTTTAACAGTAATAAAGTGGTTGTAAAAATAGTAATATAATTAGAGTAATAATAATTTGGACAATTTGAATTAGGACAATATGAGACAATAAATACAAAGAGTTATGGACGTCCAGGTGCCTTTTTCTGGGCAGAAAAAGGACCCACATTAACAAAGGATTAACCCTTAAAAACAACAGCCTGTTGCATATTCATACACTTCATACATGATGCATAAATTCCATTCAAACACAGGATTCTGTCTGGTCATCATCAACTTCTTCCTCTGAATCTTAACAGCACCTTTGAGGCAGGAAGAACTTCGTGTCTACTGATAATGGAGCCATAAATTCTCTTTCTCTGAAAGATTCAGGTGTCCTGTGGCTGCTATCTCGCTGCCAGTCCTTTCTTTAAAAAAAGTGTTTTACATAGCATCGTTTCTATTTTAACAATTTTTATAACCTAAAACTCTATTTACCACACTACTTAAGAGAATGAACACAGCATCACTTTCTAACACAACACATCTAATATTCATTTGAATATTTGTGAAAAGCCAATCCTAAAACACGTGCATTTTTCACAGGAATCTTTGCAAGGAGAATCTTGGCAAGAAGGGCCTTGCAAGGGGAACCTCTCCAAGGAGAATGAGCTTTGCAGGGAGAGCCATCTTTGCAAGGGGAACCATCTTTGCAAGGGGAACCATCTTTGCAAGGGGAACCTGTGCAAGGGGAACCTGTGCAAGGGGAACCTGTGCAAGGGGAATCTTTAAAAGAAGGGTCTTGCAAGGGGAATCTTTGCCAGAAGGGTCTTGCAAGGGGAATCTTTGCAAGGAGAATGATCTTTGCAAGGAGAATCTTGCAGGGAGAGCCATCTTTGCAAGGGGAACCTGTGCAAGGGAAATCTTTAAAAGAAGGGTCTTGCAAGGGGAATCTTTGCAAGGGGAATCTCTGCAAGAAGGGTCCTGCAAGGGGAATCTTTGCAAAGAGAACCTGTGCAATGGGAATTTTTGCCAGAAGGGTCTTGCAAGGAGAATCTTTGCAAGGAGAATCTCTGCAGGAAGGGTCCTGCAAGGGGAATCTTTGCAAGGAGAATCTCTGCAGGAAGGGTCTTGCAAGGGGAATCTTTGCAAGTTTTTTTTCAGGATTCTGTTTTCTGCTTATTTTCAAACCCTTCCTTCCTGGGTGTGAAGTCGCTGAGATTTTTAGATTCCGTTTCTGCTGATTTTCAGAGGAGCAGGACGGGGAGGAGGTCGAGAGGAGGAAGAGGAGGAGGAAGGCAAGCAAAAGGAAAAGAGAAGTGAAAAGCCAGGAGGAAGAGGGCTCCTTGTCCTGTGACATCAAACTGGACGAGTCCCTGGACCGCACCCTGGAAGATGGAGCCAAGCAGCACAACCTGACCGTGGTCAACGTCAGGAACATCCTGCACGTGAGTGTGGGCACTGCCCAGGGCTGCTGGCTCCTGGCTTTGGTCTTTCCTGGTCAGCAGAATTCTTGGCTGGAGTTCTGGATGCTGAGAGTTTTAAACTTTCTGTGCTGACAAACTCTGACTCCCAGGAGAGCGCTGCATGTGAGCTGAGGCTGTGGAGAAGCTTCCAGTATTAATGGATAGCACTGGGACTGTGGGTGTGGAGTTTGATTAGAAATGTGTGATGTCACAGGCTGGGAAACTTGGGGTTTGGGGTTCTAGAATACAGTGATATATAGAAAGCAAGATGGAGGCTTTAGGGTGGAGGCTGATCCTTGTCCCCCTTGTTGTCCCCCTTGTTGTCCCCCTTGTTGTCCCCCTTGTTGTCCCCCTTGTTGTCCCCCTTGTTGTCCCCCTTGTTGTCCCCCTTGTTGTCCCCCTTGTTGTCCCCCTTGTTGTCCCCCTTGTTGTCCCCCTTGTTGTCCCCCTTGTTGTCCCCCTTGTTGTCCCCCTTGTTGTCCCCCTTGTTGTCCCCCTTGTTGTCCCCCTTGTTGTCCCCCTTGTTGTCCCCCTTGTTGTCCCCCTTGTTGTCCCCCTTGTTGTCCCCCTTGTTGTCCCCCTTGTTGTCCCCCTTGTTGTCCCCCTTGTTGTCCCCCTTGTTGTCCCCCTTGTTGTCCCCCCTTGTTGTCCCCCTTGTTGTCCCCCTTGTTGTCCCCCTTGTTGTCCCCCTTGTTGTCCCCCTTGTTGTCCCCCTTGTTGTCCCCCTTGTTGTCCCCCTTGTTGTCCCCCTTGTTGTCCCCCTTGTTGTCCCCCTTGTTGTCCCCCTTGTTGTCCCCCTTGTTGTCCCCCTTGTTGTCCCCCTTGTTGTCCCCCTTGTTGTCCCCCTTGTTGTCCCCCTTGTTGTCCCCCTTGTTGTCCCCCTTGTTGTCCCCCTTGTTGTCCCCCTTGTTGTCCCCCTTGTTGTCCCCCTTGTTGTCCCCCTTGTTGTCCCCCTTGTTGTCCCCCTTGTTGTCCCCCTTCTTCTCCCCCTTGTTGTCCCCCTTGTTGTCCCCCTTGTTGTCCCCCTTCTTCTCCCCCTTCTTCTCCCCCTTCTTCTCCCCCTTCTTCTCCCCCTTCTTCTCCCCCTTCTTCTCCCCCTTCTTCTCCCCCTTCTTCTCCCCCTTCTTCTCCCCCTTCTTCTCCCCCTTCTTCTCCCCCTTCTTCTCCCCCTTCTTCTCCCCCTTCTTGTCCCCCTTCTTCTCCCCCTTCTTGTCCCCCTTCTTGTCCCCCTTCTTGTCCCCCTTCTTGTCCCCCTTCTTGTCCCCCTTCTTGTCCCCCTTCTTGTCCCCCTTCTTGTCCCCCTTCTTGTCCCCCTTCTTGTCCCCCTTCTTCTCCCCCTTCTTGTCCCCCTTCTTCTCCCCCTTCTTCTCCCCCTTCTTCTCCCCCTTCTTCTCCCCCTTCTTCTCCCCCTTGTTGTCCCCCTTCTTTCTCCATGGGTTTGGGTGATCTTTTGTAACTGGACAGAAAAGTCCACCCTATGGACTTGGAGTGATCAGTTATTGGTTTAAAAGTGAAAATGATTTAGGTGTCATTCCTTAATTGGATAGTTTAGCCTTAAAAGACCTTGTAACAAAAGATATTTGTCCATTTTGTGCCTGGTTAATGAAAGAGTGCAGAACTCCCTGCTGTGGGACTGTAACACAGGTAAAAAATAACAAACACCTGAGTCTGAACATGAACTGTCCTCTCAAGTGCCTTCAGTCCCAACCTCAACAGAGTAGAAAAAGGAAGCCAGAAAAGGCACCCACATCCTGATCTCTGCTAGTAAATCTCTCAAGAGGGAATCCAGTGAATCACTCTGTGAGCATGGGATCCTGTGGTGTCCATGCCCCTCACCTGGAGCCTGCTTTGCCAGCAGGTGTTGATCCCAACTCCCTGTGTTTACACCTTTTGCTTTTCCTGAGCAGCAGCAGGAATAAATGAATTAAAATGATCATTCTGGGCCCACGTGAGCAGGTGTAGGCTGTGAACTTTGTGTCCTTTTTTGAATGAGCTGTTTCATCTTAAAATTCTGGTGGAATTCTAGTGGTGCTGACAGAAATGCATCACTTTTAGTTCATGTCCACCACACAGCCCTCAGAGAGGAGCTGCCAGAAGAATATCTGGGCTTAGGAGTCAATCTCTAACTCTGCACCCCTGCTGGGTCTTTTCAGTTCATCCCAAAATGGGATCTGGCGAGCAATACAGAATCAAAAATCAACATTTGGTTTTCCCTGCAGCCAGAATTGTTCAGATCCAGGCAATCTCTGCCACTTTCCCTTTTTGTGGCAAACAACCTGAGCACTGCCATGGCTCTTTCAGGCAGATTCTCCAGTGGATTCTGTGCAAGTGCCCCAAATTAATGCATTTCTCCCTCATGTGCTGCTGGGGGAGGCCTGGAGGCTCCTCACATGCAGAAAATGGGATCTGTGGCTCTCCTGCCTTCCCCTATTTCTCCTGGATTTTCTGGAATGCAGGAGTGAAATGCTTTAAAGACTGGATATTATTCCATACTTTCTCCAGAGATTCACACATTCCATACTGGAAAGCATTCCATACTTTCTCCAGAGATTCACACATTCCATACTTTCTCCAGAGATTCACACATTCCATACTTTCTCCAGAGATTCACACATTCCATACTTTCTCCAGAGATTCACACATTCCATACTTTCTCCAGAGATTCACACATTCCATACTTTCTCCAGAGATTCACACATTCCATACTTTCTCCAGAGATTCACACATTCCATACTTTCTCCAGAGATTTACACATTCCATACTTTCTCCAGAGATTCACACATTCCATACTTTCTCCAGAGATTCACACATTCCATACTTTCTCCAGAGATTTGGGAGCCTGTGAGTGCTCAAAAATTGAAATTTAATCAAGATTTAGGTTTTCTGGTGCAGCTTCACAGCAGCATTTCTCTTGTGACTGGGATCAGCACATTTTACTGGTTCCATGACATGGCTGATTACTGATATCAGGGAAACTGGTGTGGGCTTTTGTTTTGACTCTTTTCTTTCTCTCTGCTAGGAATTTATTCTGGGGAGCACTCACAGAGAACGTTAGTGCAAATGTTTCAATCACTGCTGTGATTTAAATTTTAAATTAATTATTTTAAATTTTAAAAATTCGAAAATAATTCATTTATTTGAAATGAAGTAATTTCAATTTTGCTGTCTGATCTCTGAACAATCATTTTTGCAGCAGTGTCATTACAAAGCCTGTTGTACACTGAGTATTTCCCCCATCATATTTCCAGGTAGTTTATCCCAATTCTTGTTGCATTTTCTGTTTCTCTTTGATGAACACCCTGGATTTGTGTGTTCCTTCAGGAAGTGATCACAAATGAACACGTGGTGGCCATGGTGAAAGCAGCCATCAGTGAGACAGAAGATATTCCTTTGTTTGTAAGTAAAAAACCTGCTCAGTTGGTTTTATCACTTGTTCCAAATGCACAAGGCCTTCCTGGGCCATAATGGGATGTGTAGAAAAAAGAAATAATTTACCTGGTATAATAATGACCAGATTTACCACCTGGGTGGAGTGAGTCATGTCTGAGTGTAAATTATATATCAGAAACAGGAAAAGTTCTTTTTGAGGCCACTCTGGTGATGTCTGAAAGGAATTAATTTAAAGGCAGTGAATTTAAAGTCAATAAATTTTATAAAAGAGAAAAGCTTCCTAGTAAGCTGTACTTTCCTCATAGGAACTTTCCCCATAGGAACTTTCCCCACAGGAACTTTCCCCACAGGAACTTTCCCCACAAGGAACTTTACCCATAGGAACTTTCCTCATAGGAATTTTCCTCATAGGAACTTTCCCCATAGGAGCTTTCCCCATAGGAGCTTTCCCCATAGGAGCTTTCCCCATAGGAGCTTTCCCCATAGGAACTTTCCCCATAGGAACTTTCCTCATAGGAACTTTCCTCACAGGAACTTTACCCATAGTAACTTTCCTCATAGGAACTTTCCTCATAGGAACTTTCCTCACAGGAACTTTACCCATAGTAACTTTCCTCACAGTAAAGAGTTGCTGGGGAAAAGCCTGTCCTTAAGGAAAGGAGTGACTTTGTTGCTGTTGTGTTGTTTTCAACCCTCAGGAGCCCAAAATGACTCGTTTCCAAACTGAAGGAGGTGGTGGAGAAAGGAGGGGTGAGTAAATCTCTGCTCTGTGTGACAGGGACAGCAGGCAGGGAAGGGCTGGAGCTGTGGCAGGGAGGTTTGGGCTGGGCAGAGGGAAAGGTTCTTCCCCCAGAGGAGCCCAGGCTTCCCAGGACATGGTCCCAGAATTCCCAAGGCTGCCAGAATTCCAGGAGAGTTTGGACAGCGCTCCCAGGGATTGCCAGGTGGGATTGTTGGGGGTCTGTGCATGGATTCATGAGCCTTGTCCCCTCCAGCTCAGCCTGTCCTGTTGTTCTCTCAGGGATTTTGGGGTGTGCCCTCTAAGAGGAGCCTAAATGTGCTTGGAGTCTTGAGTGAAAAGAATCAATTAAAACAGTGTTAAGAAAAATGATTAATTTGATTTGAGCAGCACAGAGGCAGGTGAGGCTTGGCAAGGGCAGTGAACTGCCAGTGTCATTGTCCTGAATTCACTCCTGGACATCCCATGGCACAGCTGAAGGCTTTGTTTGAGCTCTGGCCACTTGCAGACCAGCTCAGGGGACACTGACCCTGCCTGTGTGGACACAGCCCAAGTGTTTTTTGCTGTCCCCAGGTGATTCCAACATGGAATATTTCTCCAATTAAGAAGGCAAACGAGGTGAAGGTGAGTGGATTCTTGCTGGGAAAGGGGAGATCATTCTGGAGACCTGGAGCTGACTTGTACTGAAACCACCTCTGAGCTGCTCATTGCCATTTCCATCCTATAAATACTGAATTATTTCTGCCTGTTCTTGCACCTTGGCTTTCCTTTACCAATCTTTCAGCAATTTTATTTCTTGGCTTTCTTCAGGATTTTCCTTTCTGAGCTTCAGGTGTTTCCTCCCTTTGAAATGTTTGATCTGACTGTGCAGCTCCTCCTGCTGCTGTGGTCAGCCTCTTTCTCTTGTGTGCAGCCCCCTCAGTTTGTGGACATTCCCCTGGAGGAAGATGATTCCTCTGATGAAGAATACCAGCCTGATGATGAAGAGGAGGATGAGACTGCAGAAGAGGTAAATGCAGCTCGTGTGTTCAGCCCAGAGCTCTGTGTCTGAGGCAGGAAAACACAATTTTTTTTAACACATGGATACCTGAAATCTCCCAGCAATCATTCTTCAGTGCTCTGCTGTTCATTTGGCTGCAAGAGAGGCTTTGAGATGTTATTTGGGGCAGGTATTGATTGTGGCACGATGGCTTTTGAGAGTGTTTTGGTTTTTTTTGGTTTTTGAGAGTGGTTTTGGCACTTTTGCCCTGCAGAGCTTGCTGGAGAGTGATGTGGAGAGCACGGCTTCTTCTCCTCGTGGAGCCAAGAGGTCCAGGACCAGGCGCTCCTCTGATGAGGAGGGAGGGACCCTCTGTGAGGTAAAGCTGGAGCAAACCATTGTTCCTAATCTATTCATCCAAACCCCCCAAAAAAAATCAACTTCTGAAGTTGTGGGGACATTCCAGCTGCCAGGTGGATTTAGGGTCCCACTGCCACGTTTCCTTGCAGAAGGGCTGGATCTGAAATAAAGCTCTGGCTATGGAAACTGTTGTCAGTTCCTTAAATAATGATTATTTTCCTGCTAATTTCTGAGCAGTGCAGGAGAATGGCTTCCTGTGCTTGGCTTAGGAGCAGAAATTGAGGTAACAGCATGAAGGTGTTTGTGTGGCTGTGCACAGGCAGAGGGAGTGGTGGGTGCACTCCCTCCTTCTCCAGATGTAAGGATCTAGATTCCAAATTCATTGATTTCCATCAGTAGCTTTACTTAGTTTTGAACCAAGATCTGAATTTCAAGAAATTACCTTCTGAATTTCAAGAAATTACCTTCTGAATTTCAAGAAATTACCTTCTGAATGCAGATTAAATCACACAAATCCATAGTTTTTTTTTCCTAGCTATATTAAATGTATTAATTGTCACAGTTAAATTTTTTTTGGTATTATTTTTATTTCCCCAGGATAAGCAAACCCTGGTTTAATTAGGAACTTAGTATGATCAGGAAACAAGAATCAGAAAGCCCCTGGGAGCTGACAGTGAGATGAAAACCAGCAATATTATACTGATATTCCCACATTCTACTCACCATGAGTTTGTTTCTTGGGAGGATTTTAATTGGTGTTCAGGTTTATCAGCTGTGGTAATGCTGAGACTGACACTCAAATCTTCCAAATGTCTCCTTTGCAAAAAATCTTCGTATTTCTTTGTAATTTTTTAAAAGCAAAGCGAATTTAATTCAGATAATCCCCCATCCTGTGGGATCTCAGCACATCACTCCCGATGTCCAGAGATGCCAGGAGAACCCTTGGGGGTCTCGGAAATCCTGGAATGTTGCCAGGAGTGTTTGGCACTGACAGGGCCATGGCAGCAGTTTTCTGATTTTGTGTGTCTGGGTGAGAGCAGCAGAACGCAGAGCTCAGAGCCAGGGACAGCTGTGGCGTGACTCAGCCCTGCTGCCACCCCAGGGCTCCTCAGGGGCCACTGCAAAGCCACCAGGGCTCCAGGGAAAGTGGGGCCAGGCTCATTGCAGATGCCTCAATCAGCATTTGGGCACTTGGCCTCCTGTTAGGTGTGGGAACTCAGCACATCGTTCCCGATGCCCAGAGATGCCAGGAGAACCCTCGGGGGGCTCAGAAACCCTGGAATGTTGCCAGGAGTGTTTGGTGGCTTGATTTTGATCCATCCACAGAAGTGACAGCAGTTTGAGGACATGAGAATCACTTTAGAGTAAAAGGTGTAAAAGAGACACATTTAGAGGGTGAAATATAAACTTTAAGGTTTTTGGTACAGGGGGGTTATGGAGACAAGATGGAGGGATCAGGGCGTGTCTCGTCCTTCTTCTTTCTTCTTCTTGTCCTCCATCTCCTGTGATGATGTTGGCACTTGGGGATTGGTTTATGGTGAAGGTGCACTTGCTAACATGGGTGAAAAGTATTGGGAAATAAAGGTAAATATCATGTAGGTAGATTTTAGTATAAAAAGACATGACTGCCCCGTGGGTGGGCAGAGTGCCCGTGGCTGCCTTGCAGATCAGACCTCTGTTGGGCAGACAGAAAATTCTGTAGATAAGAAACAATCAACAATCTGAAGATGGAAAAGCTGAAGAGTCCAGACTCGTCCTTTGAAACGTGGGGCACCCAAGAACCACCCTACCCGTGTGGGGCAGAGACAGACAGACAGACAGACAGACAGACCCCACACCATCCTTGATCAGAAATGGGAACCATTTACTCTGTCCTTGGACATTTCTGGCCTGAATAAACCCTTGAACCCTTTTCTCCATTAGCTGGAGGTGCTGCCCCCCCCCGTGGTGAGGCACATCAGCGCTGAGGTGGTGCCCATGGGTCCTCCCCCACCTCCCAAACCCAAGCAGAGCAAGGACAGCTCCTTCATGGAGAAGCTGCACGCCGTGGATGAGGAGCTGGCCTCCAGCCCTGTGTGCATGGACTCCTACCAGGTACGGCTGCCTGGGCTGGGGGCAGCTTCAGGGACAGCAGGAGAACTTCTGCCTTCAGCTCCT